AAAAAAAAGGCCCAGTTTCGACTTTAATTTTCTCACAAGGTACTGAATATGAGGCCCAAAAGAAAGAGAATCATCAATTAAAAATCCCAAGTATACTTAGATACTACTTCAATCTCCAAACCTTGAAGAGTAGTGATTGAGCATGAGTTTGAAAGTCCAGACTTTCTTTTTGTAAACATCATAAGTTTAATCATATGATGTGCTATTTATTGTATTCATGCTCAGTGAGTAGCTAAGGAACAGATTAAAAAATTATTTAAAATAAATGAAGTAGCAACCATGAAACTGAGGTGATGTCACCAATCCACAGCCCAGATTTAACTCCAGTATTACTTCTAAACCATAGCTATTGCTGTCATTGTTACAGATTGAGGGCTCTCACTATGCTCCCCATGACTGTAATGTCACTGTAATGAGAGAGCAATAAATCAAATGCTTTATTGTGCAGGAGCTCTTCTGAAGTGGAAGTCACCATCATGTCAAGCAGGGCAACAGGGCAATACATTTTAGTGCCTTGTGCAACATTATTACTTGTTGCAGTAGTGTCTGGACAGAAGAATTACATTTTAGAAGTCAATAGCTTTGTCTCTACATTACCTGTCAGACTCTGTTCCTTGTATTGTGTGTGTTCTGCTCCCCATGTGTTGTCCTTTGACCATATTTGGTTCTTCCTGTTCCTGTTCTGATTATGTTGATTTGTCTATCATTTGTGCTCCTTTATAAGCCTGTCTCCTATCATTTGATGTCCGTCCGGTATTGTGAATGTCAACCTCCTCAGCTACGTGTGTTTTCCTGATTCCCTTGATTTCATTAAAATCTCCTTGTTGATGTACTCTATGTCTCCTCGTTCCTCGCTCCACGCTCCAGCACAGTAGCAAACGTGACAATACCATAGAATACATTTTAGTGACACTTTATTTTTGAGACCACTTCTCATTATTAACTAGTTGCTTATTAGCATGCATATTACTAGCATATTGGCAGTTTATTAGTACTTATAAATCACATTTTAATGCCTTATTCTGCATGACCATATTTTAGATTCTTTAATCCCACTTCATACCCAAACTTAACAACTACCTATTAATAAGCAGCAAATTAGGAGTTTATTGAGGCAAAAGTTGTAGTTAGTTAATCATTAAAAAATTGGGACCTTTTGCATTTACATTAAAATTATAATATAGCTTTACTGACCATCACAACATAAATAATTTACATTGTACCTTTAATATCGCTTCAAATGCATCACCATAATTTATACAATATGACAATATAATATTCAGACACAATTTGACGGAACTGACGCTATCAGAGGAGGACAAACTTGAACTGAATTGAGCTGAATATTGAAACCATCGTCTTCAGCTTTATGCTGAGTCGAATTAGTTCATAATTGAATTTTGCAACATTGACACTGTTATCGAACTGAATTGAATCCACATTGAACTGACTCGAGCTGAATAACAACACTGCTGTCTTCAGAAGAGCTGTTTATCACTGACTTGTTTCATAATGATTGAATAACCTTCACTATTGTCTTATTGAGCTGATTTATAGCAGAATTTTGTTTTTGCCTTATTTTTGAAGTTTGCATCATTTATTCTGTTACTTTCCTTATTAATACTGTGAAGCTGCTTTGAAACAATTACTGTTGTATAAAGCGCTATAAAAATAAAGGTGACTTGATTTGATAGTATATATTTATACCTCTTATTATGCTTTAGTATTTTTTGTATTATTTTAGTCAGCATCATTTCATTTAGAAACATGTCTGTGAAGGTTAAAGTGAACCAGAGATGAGAGCTGAGAGCACAGCAATATGTTTTCTGTATGTCTTTCTACTCATTAGATGATCTTCCTTCTGAAGCAGGAATGAAGACAAATTTCTTGAGCAAAAATGCCCTGGAGAGACGTTTATTGCCAAACTTTGTTACAGTGAGGCAAGGTACATGTGATGTTGTTCTGATGTGACTGTTGCTGGAGGAAATCCTTAGATGAACAGATGTACTATCTGTGTTTTACCTGCCACATGAGTGTGTGTGTGAGTGTGCTCTTCAGGGCAAGTTTACATTAATTTGATAGATTAGCATGATGGAGCTATTTAAAAGATGGTCATTACTTTAAAATGCATCTTCTTTCCCTCTGAATTGCTCTGAATGGCTGTTCTCACTGGTGTAATTGTAATTCTCAGTACGAAGGGAATATGGATTGCCCCTGTATACCAGGATAAGGTGTGATACAAGACAATAAATCCTGCAGGAATAGTTATTGATTCAAAGCACAGTCTCAGTTAGACGCAGGCTTTGCATGTAACACTGTAATGATAGACTATGAGAGACAGTTCTTTTGTTGATAGGCTTCTTTGAATTGAATTGAATACATTCCTCTATTTGCCATTACACGTAATAAAATTGTCAATAAGAATTTCAGAACAAAATAATAATAATAATAATAAAAACACTGTTCTGTAAAGCCCACCGCCTCAGAGTTTTTTGAAAAATATTGAAGTACAATCAGTCAAAATGTAGACTTTCAGTTCTGAGAAATTGTTTGTGAACCCTGAGAAACTGTATTTCAAAACTATTTGTTAGTAAAGATAAATCTTATTTATAGAGTCTTAAAAAGAATGTATGGCCCTGAAAGAAAAAATTACAAAACATACAGACATTAAATAAATTCAGAGAGAGAGAGAGAGTGAAGGAATTGAGCACCAAATTTCTTGCCAACAGTCCAACAAAATATTTCACGCATAACACTTTACAATAAGGTTTCCTTATTAGTATTACAGTAGTTACCTGCATTCTTTTTAACACATTTATTAATCGTTTTTAACATGCACTAACACATCAAAAATTCTAAATTCTTACTATTAACTAGTTGCTTATTAGAGTGCATATTATTAACATATTGGCTGTTTATTAGTATTATAATATTCTGCATGACCATATTCTACATCCCTAATCCTACCCAATTACCTAAACATAACAACTACCTTATTAATAAGCAGCAAATTATGAGTTTATTGAGGCAAACGTTGTAGTTAATGGTTTGTTAATAACGAGAACTGGATCTTGAAATGATTCAGTGATTCAATTAAAAGACTTCATTCCTGAAGGTATCAACGTTTTGAACAAATCGATTGAATTCACAAAAAGATGTGAAGAAGTTTGTAATGGAATAACTGAAGGCTAGGACAGGTACCTCTTGTACTAGAGCACAGAAACCTTTCTGAATGCATGTAACACTCTCTGCAAATGTAATGACGTGATTACTGCTATATGTTATAGTACTGTCAGAGCTGAACAGGAAGAAAAAGCCTTGGGATGAGACAGTGTCCCTGAGGGGTGCCAGCATTCACAATCTGACACTTGTGCCAAAACGCTCTTGTGCATTTTTATTGCATTTTTATCCCCACAGAGGAATGGTTCATAATTGAAGGACTATGTAAAATAGTTTGTGTTATATAATATACATTATGCATAAGGAATATTATAGTTTTTTATGTTTTTAGTTTTGATGGATATTTATTATAAAAGACGGAGGTGTGAATTGGCAGAAGGCATAATTGCAAACATTGACAGTAATTGGGGATATGGAATGTAGTGAGAGGAATGGGAATTTAAGCTTTGAAGAATTCAGGCTCATCTAAAATGTACTATACAGAGTCTATACCTTATACAGTGCACATCATCAGGCATACATTTCTCAAGACATGATTAATAGTAGCTTTTAAGGAAATCATGCACAGACTTTTATTCTGATGGTGTAGTACTATTAGGTGGCAATTTGAAGTCAAAAATAATCCATCTGCATTCAAATAGCTTCTTTTGCCTTTCTCTCTCACTCACTCATAAAACACACTCAACCAATCCAGTTGAGGAAAACAATGCAGAAACTAAAAAAAGGGTTTGACTAGTGTTGTTCTTTTTCTTTGTAATCTAATGAGTATTAGACATGAAAAAGTAAGTTCCTGCCCCTAATGTGCAGGAGACAGCCAGAGCTTTGTGCTGATGCACTAATTCTTCAATCTAATTACTTTAATTCACTCAAAAGACACCGCTATTGATTGTGGGATTCAGTTCAATAAGTGTAACACTGTTTCACAGCAGTGTTAGAGCTGTTATTTTACTTTTGAAAAAGTGATTTCTATATCTAAGATAAAAAGGGTATCTTAGTTTAATTTACTGATTTCTTGCATATCAGATTTGCTGTAAACATCTGAATGCATTATAATGTGTTTCAGTTTTGGTCACGTTATTTTAAGGTGCAATTCTCAATATTAACAAACCGTTAACTACGACTTTTGCCTTAATAAGATACTTATTTGCTGCTTATTAATAGTTAGTAAGGTAGATGTTAAGCTTAGGTATTGGATAGGATTAGGTATGTAGAACATGGTGTGGTGGCTTCTGCCGATGCTGTAAGGAATCATTCTTCAAGTCTTGGGGTTTTGATGCCAGAAGATAGACTTTATTCTTCAGATGAAATAAAGCCGAGAAAAACTCTGTAGAGCAATCTCCAGACTCTTTTTCTGTACCCTCTTATATACTGTTCTTTCTCTAGGCATGTTCAATACATTTCATTCATATCTGTTATGGGATCACGATGCAGTCATGAGGCCTTAATTTTATGTTCTGTGAAAATAAGGGCCCCATTATGTGCCATCATGTGCTTATCATGTACTTCACCATATGTCTGCACATTCCATTTTCATACAGATTTCTATACATGCAGGCAAATACACATGATTATAATAGTAGAATAACTTAATACATAAATGGCTATATTCATATATACTTGATCAGTATAATTAATAAATCTTCGCTGATTGTACTTCATGTAATTTAATTAATCCCTTCTGTAGTTTTATTTATTTATTTATTTTTATTATTATTATTGTAATTTAGAATTAATATTGATTCAAACCCTAATTTAACTTAATCTCTTGTATTAAATTAGTTAGGTATGCCTTTAGTTTGAACAATTTAATTTATATAATCTGCAGGGTCTTTTTCATCTGCTCTAACTAACTTTACATTGTGGTATTTTCAATATTTTGCTGCATTTCCTTTAATTTGCCAATGTCAATAGTTCCCGTCTTTTTATAACATTCAATTCTTGATCTGCCATTAATTGTATTTTTCCTTGTGTTTTTTAATTTTTTATTTATTTATTATTATTATTTTATTTTATTTATTTATTACCATACTATTGACCATTTACGGGTTCGGATGCACTGTAATTCAGTTGCTTCTCTGTAGTTTGTTGAAGATTGGAGAAACTGGCACCAGTATGGGCATAATGCCATTTTTTGGGTACAGTTTCTAAAGACATTTATCTCCATGTGCTTATCATGTACTTCACCATATGTCTGCACATTCCATTCTCATACAGATTTCTATACATGCAGGCAAATACACATGATTATAATAGTAGAATAACTTAATACATAAATGGCTATATTCATATTGATTATACTTGAATAATTTATATTTTGATTAATTACAATCTTCCACAGTGGTCATGCAAAATATGTACTTTATAAGTACTAATAAGCAGGCAATATGTTAATAATAGGCATGCTAATAAGCAACTTAATAGTGAGAATTGGTCCCTATACCACGATCCTCCAACGACTCCGTGGAAACGGCTCCACGATCTCCAACGTAACCGGCATACGATCCTCTCCATCAGCACTCAGATAAGCACCCTGGAACCATTCACTGTGTTGACATTCACCTGCCTTTAACTCACCTATTCCAGTCATCCACTTACCCAGTCAATAAACCATCCTGTTTTGCACTTACCTGTTGTGTCTGGCCTTGCTTTGTGACAATACTAAAGTGCTCCCTAAACTTTACATCAGTGTAGGTTCCTAAAAATCTATATTTGATTTAATGAAGCATTTGCCACATTACAGATTTAAATTAAATTTGAACGGTATATTTATTCATACAGTACATGGCGTGTATACATGAGTTGTATGTCTGCTTTTATTCACTGTACTTTCAGATCAAAAGAAAGAACAGGAAAATTGATGCTTGCTATGTGGCTTAATTATGTACATGATTATAGACAGAAATACTGCTGCATTTCAGCATAAAGTACAGAATTATGTATTACTGGAATTATGACCCGGGAAAATGCCGACAATTATACTGTGAGAGCAGCAACTAAACTACTGTATAATTGTAGAATACGAGTGCACAACCAGCTATGTGCTGATAATTTTACCCTATAAAACTGAATCAGAATATCTGTGGTATTTGAAAAAAAAAAAACACCAGTATCATCAACACAAACACTTTCCCTGCCATTAACACGCTTTAGCACTTTTGAATGTATAATTTGCAAATTCTCACCTCTGTGTTTTCAAATAAAAATAAAAGTTTGGTCAGTGCCCTGGATTCAGTTCAAAATGTTTTGTTTTTACCAGTCTTGTTGTTATTCTGTACTGTACATTGTAAGGCCAAATAGAACTATATAATGATGGAATGGAATAAGAACACCAGTCACTGATTGGAGGATGTCATTCATTCATTATTTTTAAGAGTGTAGCATATTATATAGGCCTTTGAGAAAACCTAACCACTTGGGATTGACACACAAGACTAGAGTACATTTGAGAACATTAGTACTCAGATGGTTGCTCTTTGTATTTTCCTTCTTTTCTTCTAAAGATTGTGTATGTTTTTATTTAGTTGTCATCAACAAACATATGTTTATATTTCTAAGTGGCACAAACAAACTGTTTCAAGGACAAAAGCTCTGATTTGTAGGTCATTTGCTCTAATGGGGATTGTTAATTTTGTCTGAAAATATACACTAAAGACCACTAAAATGTCCTATAGATAACAAAGCAAGAGATAACAGCCCACATATCATTGGAGATAAGAGTGTCTGATTGCCCTGGAAGATAATTACTGTGCTTTCACCCTGCATTTCAAGTCGTACTCTCAGCTATGCATAAATATCAGCTCCTTGATGGCAGTGAACACGAGAGGGACTTGCATGTAAAACATTGCCTCAAAAACAGACAAATGAAGGATAAAAAAGCACATAAGGCTAGCTTTGGAAGGTTAGAAGACCACTTCACTGTTTATAATAGAACCTCAATATGAAAGACTTGAATAATGTGCTGACATTGAAACTTAAAACATGGAGGACAAAAGTTTGCATTTGATATTGATTTAAAAGTGCTTTGAAAGCTGGTGGGTAATAGTTTGTAAGTGGATTTATATTTTATCCCCAGGACTAACATTAGCGGATGTTGCTTAACATGCACACAATCTTAAAGACAGCTCTAGGGGTTAGTTCAAGATACAGTGAGTAACTTTTATTAATTTATTTATGGGGTGATGGGGATGTAAAAGACAGCAAACATGGGCTATTAATCCATGTGTGCAATCTTGCTATCACTTACAACCAACACCTTTGGCAGTGACAGTAAATCAAAGACTGCAACACTTCACCGCTGAATAGAACACACACAGTAAGATGAATACAGCGTGTCCACTGGGGAAACCTCGGTATTCGGCCAGCTTGTTATTGCTGATGAGCAGAGTCTGAGCCTGCTGTGTTTTGATTAAAGAAGTTCAATTGTCAACAGCCAAATGGGCAAGGTAATTATGGATGTTAGCTGATTTTCTCGCTCTGGGTCTTGACAGAAGTGTTTCTCCCAGAGCACCAGGCCTGATTGTGACACAGATAATAGGTACATGTGCTGGGAGCTCAGACTAGAATCTCACCGCATGTATAAAATAGATGGATGCACTGAGTACTGCAGTGCTCAGATGTGCAGCCTTGGAGACTCGAGTGCTTATTGAAATACTTGCTGTATTTACTCATGTAATTGCATTCCTTTATGCCTCTTTGAGCCAAATGTCATGATCAGAGCAAACAACTAGAATAGAGAACCTGATATACATTCACATGCAGTGGCAATAGCAACTACTTAATGTACATCTTGCCATAATTACATTGAACGAGCTTTTGCTATTTGCAGTAAAACTACAAAACATATATTTGAATGATTTAAATCCACTTATACTGTCCAAAGATAAAATTGGCTCTCTAAAATCTATATTAAATTGAATATCTTTGATCATTCTATTAGGAAACAGACAAACTAAAGCGTTTCCCTTCCAATCTGGATCATGTCTGATAATTGTGAGTAGTCAGGAAAAGGATAGTGCAGCTCAGATAGCACACGTACGTCTGCAAGATGTCTGTTAAAGATCACTTGATCTGGAAAGCATCTGCAGTGTACAAACATCTGACAGACGTCTTTAAGATGTCAGTTTTACATAAATTCTAAATCATAAACATCTTATAGCATCTAATAAACATCTATTTGACATCTGATAGGAAACATACAATAGACGTATTGCAGATGAGCAAACACTCTAAAAAATACATCTTGCAGATGTAAATGCAGACATCAAATTGACGTCTCCGTGATGTACGTGTGCTATCAGGTAATATTGTCCTTAAAAAGATAAAATGCTTGACATATTTTTTACATTTAGAATGACATAACTGTTTTTAATTGCAATTGTTCACTTTGAAATACTGTATATTCAGTCCACATTTGTAAACTTTTTATTATTATTATGTTGCCTTGACAAATATATCATCTATCTATCTATCTATCTATCTATCTATCTATCGATTAGCAAAGCCTAGCAAATAGGACATTCTACAATATGTTAAAACAAGCTAGCAATGTGCTAAATTATGCTAGAAACATGCTAGCAACTTGCAAATGTGTTAAATCATTCTAAAAATGGTAAATCATATTAGCAACATGTTAAACATCGCAGTTGAGTTAAATCATGCTATTTACATTCTAACAATGTGTTAAATCATGTTAGCAACATGTCTTAGCATGCTATAAATGTGCTTAATCATGCTAGTAACATGTAAAATGCTATAAACATGTTAGCAGTATGCTAAAACATGTTCACAATATGTTATTGGCTTTCTCTGACAAACTTCAGTTATTTTAAACTTTCACACAAGACTTTGTCAAGCCAACATCACCGTTTTTTTTGCTCCTTTTACCCCCCACTTTAACTGATGCCTTCTTTGTGTATAATAGAAAAACAAATCATCCTCCTTAAAAGAACTTGTCATTAAAACAATAATCCTGTTCATTCATCCATGTTTGTACAGCAGGGATGCTATTTTTTCTGTGGCTGGTTTGTGCTGAACAGGGTTAAAATTTGTCAAAGGCTGATGAGGTAGGACAGTACAGCATAAATATCAGACATTTAATGAAACGGGCATGTTTAGACACAGCTATCATCACCATTCAAAATATGTGTAGCTGTTTACGGCACCTTCATGAACCTGTGAAAAAGTCCTCTTGGAAACGATGCGATCAGCGACAGACGGTCTGAGTCCGTAGCATCTCTCAGATTGTAGCACAGAGCTCACAGTTCGGTATTATTTGTAACAGGTGAGGAGACAAATGACATGAAGCGCTGATTACACAAGCATATTATTTGCATGTTGTTTTGAGTCAGGCCGCGTGAACAGA